GCCATTCTACTTAAATGATTTTGCATTCAGAAATTCGGGACTTAAATACGGATTTGATGCACGAGAAAATAGTGCATATTGGACGTGAAAAAGGGAGCAAGTTGCACGTGGGGAAAAAAACGCGCCTGATTTAAATGTCACACCTGAAATGTCACATCCTTTTAATTATGTTTGAAATTATGAACATTGCTCAACATCATGAAAATTAAACCTTATTTTCAATAAGCAATCCTGAAAAATATTTGGGGGTGCTTAACTTTTTTCCAGGTGTATATATGAGATTAATCTTCCTTAAAAATACAATTGTGACAAAGATAAGATTTTGTACAACAACCACTTTTATTGGGTGCCAAGATCGTTTATTCCGCATCAAAATTTCACTAATGATCTTCACAAATTCGATCTTTTAACACTTTATTTTCTAAATTTATTTGTATCAGAAGATGTTATAGATTGATAAATCTTGTAATGCATTTCTTTATAACTAAAAATTATGTCATAGTACTTAAGAATAGCATAATATTTAAAACTTTAAAAAATCCAACAAATGCTGATATCTAAATCAGATAATAACACATACGCACAGAATATATAATACTACTAGATGAACTAAGAAAACAAACAATAGGTTTGTTTCTTCTTCTTCTTTTTTGCTGTTTTTAATCACAAAGCTACACAGTGAACTATCTTTACTGTGCCAAATGTGGATATCGAAACCCGATTTTTAGCGTCATAAGCTCTCAGACTTACTACTGAGTCATAAAATCTAAATTGTTATAATATTGACATAATTCACTAACATCGGTAAAGAAAATCTAATTACACCTGAACCTGGCATATAAGTTTTATCAATCAAAATAAAATACAGTTGCTTTTCCGTAAATTTAAACGTTGTGGTATATATATTTATACGCATGTGTGTATTTTGAATAATCTGTAGTCTATAAGGTGTATATGATATATCCCAAAGTTGGCTTATAAATAATGGTTTGAACTTTCGCGTGTGGGCAGTTAATAATTTAAGATGAATCAAAATGGCGTAATGTTGTGAAATCAAAGGTTTGTTTGTTTTAGAGCAAAGCCACAATGAGTTATCTGCAGTGTCAACCGCGGGGAATCGAACCCCGTATTTTAGCGTTGTAAGTCAGTAAATTTACTGTTGTCCCACCGGGGGATAGGAATCAAAGGAATCTGAAGAAATTTATTTTTGTTTTAGAGCGAAAAGTAAATCTAGGTTTACTATTTCATTTTTCTTTAAACTTAAATATTTAGTGCAAGGTCTAAAAAACAATATGGCTTGAATATAAATAAAGAGTTCATTATATTGGAAGTATGGAAGAATCTCTGTTTGCACTCCTATGGCTCCGCGATAAGCTTGAGGGTTTATAACACTATAACTCAGGGGTTGATCCCTGCAATGGGAACAGCAAAGCTCATTGTGCACATTTAAACTTAACAAAAACAAATAAAGATCGTTGTCGAGAATTTGCTATTTGTATCTTTAGTTATGTTTATGATATAGTTATAGCAGTCAGAATCAATTCCACGCGGTAAACTTTTCAGTTTCAAGCTCAATATTTTTCAGAATAAACCTTAAGAGCATTTTCTCCTTTTTATAACATCCATCCATCCACTAGAAATAAAAGCCTAGGGATTCACTGTACAATCTTATGAAGTTGTGTTTTATAACCTTCCTAATATTGTATACCTCTATCATCTAAGTGCATAACTTCGAATTTAAAGTCCCGCATCAGGTCACTTATAAATAAAATAAGCAGTACCATGTTTTTGCTAAGATCATCATCTTATTAGCGATACTTATATAGAAATCATGTTTTTAAATAACGTTGTAACGTGTTCTATTATTGAGCAGATAACGTGTTATTATGTCAAGTTCGGTCCACACAACAATAACAAACTAATATATATATTTTTCCTTAACGTTTGCTACATGATACTACTACTGCTACCTCTTGTACACAATTGTAAGCCCTAGTTTACAAATAGCGTTTTCAGTTTCAAAGAAGTTTACTCACTAATAGTACTACGATTAACGTACATATATATATTTGTTTATACAATTTTATGACTAATTGATCGAGTAACTAAATGTTCGTGATAACTAACACTGATCTGAATACGTCACTAACCTTTCAGTCACTGGACGAACTGAAACTAGTTGAATGCTTCACCGATTCTCTTATGTATAATGTATCCTTTTTTCTAGATATTTCTCAAACTATTTTGATCATTGACATTCACAAACAATGTATGTATTTACGACTAATTTTATGGACTTATTTGATCTTAACATCATGCGCCCCCTGGTAATAATCTAGATCAAAACGACGAATACATATCTTACAACAATAATGACCTATAAAACCCAAAGTGAGATTTTAAAAGGAGTGGTGCAAGGTTGAGGTACGTACTGTTTCTTGGACGCATTATAGAAATTGTCTTAAATATTCCGTTGCAGTTGGACCCGAACGTGTCCTATTGGTTATTATACTGGGATGTGGATCTGCAGGTTCCCTGTTCACGTCCTGTTACCGAAAATAGTCGGGTTCCGCACTTTGTTGACGGCCAGATTCCACTATTTTTCCAGACAGAAGTATACCAAGATTTGACAATGACTATTGTTGACTATCTGTCTTCCCCCTAGTCTGTCAGTTCAAAATTAAGGACGAATAGCGCAGATATCTCTTGAGTAGCTTAGCACGAAACCTTTGATGTAAAAGTGTTATTTTGTAGTGTTTGGCCATTACATAGGTAAGTGCAAGATGCTAGAAAATAGAGGAATGAAAATGGTGAAGGGGCTAGCTTGTTTACTTATTTCGCCATGCTTGTGATCTTAACTCAGCACACTTGTCAGTGCATCACCACTCTACAATTTTTGTTAGATATAATTTTTTAAATCTATATTTGGACATATTTTTATGTGTATATGTTTATTACTAGATTCAAGACTAATAAACAACCTCTTCACAGGAACTTTACTAAAGACACACATAGTTGTTTACGTAGGATCTTGTGACTGTGTAAACTGACATAACTTAAAGTTGTATAAAAATAAAAAGCAATAATAGTCTATCCATTCCCGGCAATATGGTTTTAATGCATAATATGTCGGCCGTTGGCCTACATCAGATACATCTTACTATAAAGATGATAAATTTTGTGTGTGTGTGTGAGTGTGTTAGCATTCACCACTTAAAGGTGGCCGATTTCATTACCGTAATCTTTTATATAGCAACTAGAAACTGTCTGACGGTGTTCATTGGATATATTTTATTTTATGATTTTTGTTCTCAAAGGAGGGAAAAATCCCTGAAATAAGGCGCATTTCCACCTTTTTATATATAAAAATTTTGGTTTCCATAGTTAATCGGATCGATTACCGTAATTTTTTTACGGTAAATGGATAGTGCTTGACGATATACATTGGCTACTTTGATTTAGGATTTATACCAGAGAAGGGGGATAAAAAGATCCTGAAATAGAGAACATTTCTACTTTTTTATACACTTCTGTCGTCCATCACCAGAGTTTGTTAGCTTGATTACTATAATATTTGGTATGGTAACTGGAAACTCTATGATAATGTAAATGGGATATTTTGTTTTAGGTTTTTGCTAGAGAAGGGAGATAAAAACACTCTGAAATATATGGCATTTTAACTTTTTTTATAGACTTTTGGCTTTGAATTTAAATAAACAAGTAGTTAAATGAGTCAATTATTACCTTCTACAAAGCATGGTCTGCAATTAGCATCAATGAGGTCATTAGGGATTTAATAACAAAAGAAAAAAAGGAAGGGGAAAGTTAACTTACATTGTCCTTTATGCAATTCATGCTTCCTTAACGGTATCCTCACCTAGTAGAGACAAAACATACACGAGTTTGTCAGAAAAAGAAACTTCATTTATTGAATGAAACTTTGTAGAATGGACGACAACTGCCTGTTGCAGAGACACAAGTGTAGAAGACGACGTTTGTATTGACTATTGTTGATTATATTCCACCTTAAAGACGTCCATATTAAAGAACATTTAACATCCGAGTTAAATAATAAATTATGCCAGAAGAATTGCTAAATGTATTTAATAAAAGTTACAATTAATAATAAGTGATATATAGTGGTATAATACTTATATTTAAAAAAAGATGATTGCCACTAGAGGGATAAACTGTTTTAAGCAGTAGCTGGGAGTGAGTGAAGCTGAAAAATAGATTATGGAGTAGAATGGGGATGTAAAGTTTAACTTGTAATTTATTGCTTGAATTTAAAGCTAAGTAATTTTGATAATTTCTTTTTTTTAAATTGTGGTATTTTGATGATAATTTAAATTAAAACATGGCCGAAGATGGAAGTTCTGGTCTTCTGGAAGATTACATAAACAAAGCCAATAGTGATTCGTCTGTTGAAATTGTATCACTATCAGAACCACCTGAAGTTCGTTCGTCGGAGGAAAGTGTTGAACCATCTGAAAATATTGGCATAAGTTTAGACAAGCTAGCTGCAAAATTATTGAAAGATAATTTTATATTAACAGCACTTGAACTTCATACAGAATTATTAGAAAGTGGACGGGAATTACCCAGGTTGCGTGATTATTTTTCTAACCCAGGAAATTTCGAAAAACAATTGCAAGTCAACTCTGAAACATCGCCAGTTTTACGTTAGTATTAATTATAGTATTATTAATTTTATGATAATTTTTTTCATCTGGTCTGGAAATGGTTTCATAAATGACGGATTCAGTTATATTTTAGTTTTAAGTCTTATTTCATTACCTCTGTCCTACTTGCAGTTGCAAGTCTGAAGGTTTATATTCATAACTATAAGTTATACTTATAACGCTAAAAACAGAATTTCGATAGCCGTGGTGGGCACAGCACAGATAGCCCATTGTGCAGCTTTATACTTAATTGCAAAAAAAAAAAAAACTGCCTTACTTGAGTTGACATGAAAACATTGTTGCAGACAACAAGTGGGTAAGAAATGTCAGTGATATATTACGGTTTATATCAATATTTGTATTATTATCATGAAAGAGAACAAGTTACAGCCGTTTTTGCTAATTATTAAATTTAACTCAAAATTATCATGTTTTGATGTAATGTTAATCATAGGTACCATGTGGTAAAGGATATGTATATCATATTGGTGATGGCTCGGCATGGCCTGGTGGTAACGGCGCTCAACTCGCAATTTGAGGGTTGTGGGTTCGAATTCCAATCCAACCAAACATGTTCTCTCTTTCAGACGTGGGGGGGTGTTATCATGTGATGGTCAATCCCACTATTTGTTGGTAAAAGAGTAGCCCAAGAGTTGGTGGTGATGACTAGCTGCCTTCCTTCTAGTCTTACACTGCTAAATTAGGGTTGACTAGTTTTGCACAAAATTCAAACAAACCAATCATATTGGTGTGCATAAAAGTATGATAGCATGTTAAATGTACATCACAATAATGTAGCTCATGTTAAGAGAGTACATTATTTTAATTGCATCAGTGTACATAAACAGTTGATATTACGTGAAATAGACATTAATGGAGACAGTGGTATACATAAAATGAGGATAGTGCATTATGTACAACAGTGGTAATGGTATGAATAAAATGAAGACAGTATGCTATTAAATCACAGTGGTTACATATTTACTTTACACAACAAACTTATTTTTTTTGTAAAACAAACTATACACAAAATATTGCTTATAAACTAAATAAATATACTTTTATAAAAAATGTTTAAAAGCATATTTAAAAGTTATAGGGTAAAAACACTTTCACTGTTTCTGTAATATTGCTGTTAGGTTAAGGTTAAATCCATCCCATACCTAGACAGCATATAGGAACTGGTGCTTCACTCCAGTTCCAGTGGTACAAGCAAATGAGATGGTGACATATTCCACTTGGACAGGATGCCAGTCTATCACAGATTAACTTCCAGCCAGCAGCTGGTGCCCATTTCACAGCTGGGTAGAGTTTGTTGCCAAAGGTGAAAGTAAACTTCAAACCTGTTACCTTTCTGTTACAGGTCCAAAACAGTAACTACTGGATGGTGGCATCCTCTTGAAATATTGCTTTACTGATAGGCTATTTACATTACATTATGAAACCTCAGGTTACCCACACTTAAAATATTCTTTATCATCAGATATATACTAGGACACTAGGGTATGATAAGTATGGCTAAAATGTTTCATTGGGTTAACTTGGCATCTTGAGATACAGTAACTACAAGGAGCAAGCTTGTAGCCTAGGTAATATAAAAAACTAGTGGATGGATACATTGGTATTAGATTGGTTTAACTTGACCTGTAGAATATAGAAAAAATATTAAAAACGGTCAAACAAATAGTGCCATTGTTTTACACTTGAAGAATTTTAGTCATAAAATTGACTGGAAATCAACCATTATTACTAGGAATTACATCAAAAGAAGAATTTTGTAATGTCTTTAATCCAAAGATTGACAAAGGTAGCTTTAAGCTAAACTTCTATCTGGTGTCATATGTGGTTAAGGGAGTTGGAACTCTCATTATAAATTAAACACTTTATATGTTTTTCTCACAAACAATCATTGGACTGAAGAGAACATATAAAAATGTATTAAAACTTGTGCTCATATTGTTACAACAGCGGAAGTCACGTGATGCTGGTAACACATCATGAGTTTCTAGAAGGATCATGACTGGCAACTCTAGTGTTTGCCAGATGCCCTCTATATTAGTATATAAGCCCGGCAAATAAAGCGGAGATTACAGAGAGATTACAGCAGTTGTTGGAGGAAAAAGAAAAGAAATAAGAAGAGAGATTACAGAAATGGTTGGAGGAGAAAGAAAATGAACAAGACAGACTACAGCAGTGGTTGGAGGATAAAGAAAATAAACAAGAAGAAAGTCTCCAACAGTTGAGAGAAAGCCAGAATACACAAATGGAAAAGATGAGTAAATTTCAAAGTGAATTAAATACATTAAAGGAGGATATATTAGCCATCGACCTAATCAGCCTCAGACAATGGGAAGTCCCTTCCAGACCCCGCAGCTAAACCCTAATGCAAACATCTTCAGTCCTGTCAGAAGTCACATTCCAGACATGAGTGTCAGCAACAGAGGTGATGTAGTACGAAGGAAGCCACAGGAATCTGATGGGAAGGTACCATGGGAGGCATATAGAACACAATTTGAGCTCCTGGCAGAAATGAATGGATGGACAGAGGAGCAGAAAGCAGTGTACCTGGCAACAAGCCTGAAGGTACAACCACTGGAAATACTTGGACAGTTGTCAGCAGATGACAGGCACAACTATAGAGCACTGGTAGCTGCTCTAGAGCTTAGGTATGGAACTCAAAATCAGTCCGAAGTCTACAGGGCTAGGTTTAGGACGAGAGTTCACATCGGGTGGCGCAGTTGGGTAAGCCTTGTGTGCCACACTTTCCAAATCCTGTGCTAGCTTTTGCAGGCTCTCCCCTTTAGCACACAACTTGAGGTGCTGAGGGATCAGTTCGTAGATCCCTTGGACAATCTACAACTGAAGATACAAGTAAAGCAAGCACGCCCATCTACCATGCAGGATGCAATGGCCAGAGCTCTTGAATTTGAATCCAACGTTAAGTCCAGCACAGAGGTATCAAGGTTAGTACAGTCATCAGGATTCAAGGCCAGAAAAGGGCAGCTTTCAAAGAAGTTTGAAGAACTTTGCTGGCATTGTAAGAAACCTGGGCACAAGAGAGCTCAATGCTGGCAACTTCAACACAGGGAAGATGCCACAGCAGGAAAGGCTGCTACCCAGATAGGTTGTTGGAACTGTGGAGAGCAAGGACATATGAGGAACCAGTGTAAGAAGAATACTACCAATAAGTCAGCCTCGGGGAAACCAGTTGGTGTTGAGGTACACCCACCAACCCCCATTGTGAAAGTCCCAACAGCTAAGTGTAAAATGGCAAGTACACATAGTGTCTACATGACAGGAAAGCTGGGTGGCCAAAAGTGCAACTTTGTCATAGATTCTGCATCTCAGCAAACCCTTGTGAGTATCAAGGTGCTGGATCAGAAAGGAATACCAGAAGCCATACAGAAGCTCTGTGGTGTGACAGGACATTCTCCAAGGTTGTAGGGACCAGTGTGGGTAAATATTGAGCTCATGGGCATGAAGGACAGACACAAAGTATACTTGGCTGACATTGAAGACCAATGCATATTAGGGTTAGACTACTTACTACTGAGGAAGTTTGTGATTAATTTTGATAAAATGACGTTTGGGAACAACAAAGGCCAAATTCCAGTAACTATTAAAAGAGTGGTTGAACTAACTAGGTGCCATCAAGCTGAAGTCAAAGTGACTGAAGGAGTTGATGATGGTGAAGTGGAACCAGGTATAAATATTAAAGCAGAGCAGGAGGAAGACCAAGATTTGAAGCCAATAATTGATTTTCTAAAAGCAAGTGTTTTGCACCCTGCTTGGGAGAAGATGTCTAGCTTTAGCCCTGTGACAAAGAACTATTGTGCTCAATGGAACCAGTTGAAGCTTGAAGATGGTATTCTTCTCCGGAGGTGGGAAACTGCAGATGGGAAGTTACGGAAAGTTGTGCTGCGTCAATCCCATGATAGTTTAACAGGAAAACATCTCGGAGCTAAGAAGACATTGAGTCACCTACGACAGATATTTTACTGGATAGGTATGAGGCAAGATGTGGAAGAATGGTGCAGGACATAAAAGGGGACCCAAGCAT